TATATAATAATAGTATATGTATATATGTATGTATATTTATTATGCATGTATGTATGTATATATGTATGTATATATGTTGTATGTATGTATGTTATATGTACATACATACATTCATATTTCATATATATATATATATATTATATATATATATATATATTTATATTATATATATATATTATAATGTGTGCTTTTCTGCCATATACATAAAATTAAAATAACTAACCGCAGTTAGCTTCATCTGAGCTATCCAAGCAGTCACTAAAACAGTCACAGAAAAAGGCTTCAGGTACACACTGTCCAGAGTCGCAAAGCCGCTCATCTGCCTCACAAGTGCTGTTCAGAGACGGGCCGACACCAGTCAAACACTCCTAAGATGAGAAAATGAGCACTGTTTAGTGTTACAATGTTAGTTTCTCAATGTGTTACGAATATTGTGACGAAATCAATAAACTGAATCCCTCATCTTTCAGTTCAGTAGAAGATAATACCACCTTGGAAGTGTACAAACCCAGATACGAATGAAAGGACTTCAGAAAGAAAGAAATAGAAAAAGAAAGAGAGGACAGCTATTTAACCCACAGGAGTCAACGAGACGTCGTCCATCGCGATGTAGCTCTGGTTCGCGTTCCCCAACTCGGCCTGGAACACGAGGCGGAAGGGGCTGTCGGAGGAGACCAGGGCGACCACTTCCTGCCAGCTGGCCTCGTAATTGCTGCTCCGTGACGCCGCCACCCAACGCCCTCCGGATTTTTCTGCATGGAAAGGTAGTCGTAAAAGCTTTTTTTTTTCAAATTTAGACTGATTCTGACGGTTTTATAACTGAGGGTGTTGTCTGTTGAACTATAAGGCATATACAAAAATGATTATTAGTGAACTAGAGAAAGTGGAAACAGACAAATAAACCAACTGCGCAGTATTTAAGAGAAGAATTACGGAAATGGATATTTCTCACCCCATGTAGACCCACGCAAAACTGCATACCGACAATCGTTAAAAGCTATAGGTCTGCGTTCCCATGCGCAGAACACGTTCTTTTCTTGCAAACAAAATTTTTCCCACGAACCTTCCACAATGAGCCTCAGCGCCCCAGTGTCCACCGTCCCCTCGGCATTAACGTAGTCGGTGTGCATATAAAACCAGAACCTGACGAAGCACAGGTCCCGCGAAGCAGGATAGGTCGCGTGGGGAGTGATTCCTGCGACCTGTCCAGGGGATCCTTGGTCGCTGGACAGGTATACGTACTGACCTGTAAATACAAGGAAATATTGGCCATTGGGTATTACTTGAAGTTAGCGAGTGATTTCCTCAGCTAAGTGAGAGTCCGTCGGTACTTCCAGAGGTCGTATTTTTCGCGTTCGTACCTTTGGAGCCAAGCGTGTGGTCGTGGCGGGGACCGTTTAAGAGGTCGTTGGAGCTTTTGGCTTGGGTCCACTGCAGGTCGTCGTCCACTTTTTGTAAATAGGCACAGGTCAGCATCCAGTCTCCATCGAAATTGCAATCTCCCTGACATGTAAACCAGTAGCATGATACTATCCTTCGGTTGTAATGGAATGAAATTCGATTTCCTCTTTTACCAGCAAAAACATAATATTTTCACTAGTAAAGTAGTAAAGTAGTAAAGTAGGAATTAAACGAGTAAATTAATATAACATATACCTCATCAGTCATATGAATTTATCAGTATCCTGTTGAGTCATAATATCTAGAACCCTTAGCAGAAGTTCTAATAAACAACATAAGACATACATCAACCACAGTACAGTTAAACTCATCGCTCTTGTCGTCGCAGTCGTACTTGGCATCGCACGCGAACTGGCGGGGGATGCACAAGCCGTCTGCGCACGTGAATTCGGTGGTCGTGTGGCAAGAGCTCTCGGGCGTGCACAGCTCCAGGCTCACGTCGTCGATGGCTATATGAGTCTGAGAGAATAAATAGAGTGAGATATATCCATACAAGTATACACACACACACTCACACACACACACACACACACACACATATATATATATATATTATATATATATATATATATATATATATATATATATATATATATATATATTAATAAGAAAAGTTGTTTTAATATGGCAATCATGAAAGCGACTTATGAATCATTCATCACACTGCTTTTAACACACAAAATATCTAAAACACAGTCGTCGCGGACGCCACACTACATCGACAAGACCCCCATAACACGAATCCGCCTTTGACGGACTTCCACGCACAGCTGTTCCCGCGCTCACCTGTCGTCGCCGTGCACGGCTTGAAACACGGTGAAGTCCCTCTTGCTCCCGAGGCGCCCGAGGCCCAGGTACTCCTTCGCCCACTTCCCGGAGCTGGACATTTCGAACCACAGCATGTCCGCGTCGTGGCCAGCTGGACTGTGCGAACGACAGAGAGGTCTGAGTATTGCTCTTGTGATTTGAGTATGTACACACACACGCCCCCCATATTATATATTATATATATATATATATATATATATATATATATTATATAATATATACATTTTATATATATATAATACATTATATATATATATATATATATATATATATATATATAATATATTATGGTGGTGCTATATATTATATATATAATATTATATATATATATATATATATATATATATATATATATATATAATGGTGGTGCTATAACGATTGTTGCTTGTATTATTTTGCTGTAGTTGATGTGTTGTATTACGGTATCCAATAACATCATGATCACCATTTATCATTATTCTCCTTGATTTTCGCCATCGCCACTCTCCCTTAATCCAATTCTCATTCCTATCAACATAACCGCCATCATCGGCATTATCAAATTTCTTATTCCAATTAACATTAGTCTTATGCTCATTATTCCACAGTAACATAACCGTCGTCATTAATCAGTGAATCACACTTGGGTTCCTCTTACAGCAGTTTCCTCCGATTTCTTGTAAACAGCCAGACTCGAGGACTCGGCGCCCGTAGACAACATGTAGTGCCAGAACACGAGAGTACATTCCTTCCCGACTTGCGAAAACACACGGGACTCCAAGATGGCGACCTGTCCTCCAGTGCTCTGAATAAAAGAGGAAAAGAAGAAAACATTAATTTACTTATCATCATCATATTTATTTATGTTACTTTATTATCTTTATTACGACTATCACTATATTATCATCATTATACTACCGCTACTACCGTTACTACTACTACTATTACTGCTGCTTCTGCTGCTGCTGCTGTTATTGTTATAGTTGTTGTTGTTATTGCTGCTACTACTACCACTTCTACTACAACTACCACTACTACTACAACTACCACTACTACTACAACTACCACTACTACTACAACTACCACTATTACTACAACTACCACCATTACTACAACTATCACTACTATTACAACTACCACTACTACACAACTACCACTACTACAACTACCACTACCACTACCACTACTACTATTACTACTTCTGCTGCTACTACTACTTATTATAAACATCAGCATAACAATTACTTACACAACAGTGGTACAACATCCATACAAGTAATTCAACCGAAAAAACGTTGCAATCGTAGAACATAGAAAAAACACCCCAAATACAATGCCTTTGTTTACCTTTTCCTTGGCCGTGAAGAGGTCATGCGCATAGGCATCAAAGGCGTGGTCAACAGGGGGTCCGGGGAGAGGGGCAGGGAACCCCCCACGCTGCCAGGGGATGGAGCTCGCCGCGCTCACGAACCAGCCGCACAGGTCGCCTTCCGTCTCGAAGTCACAACTCCTAGCTGCCGTAATAGTGGAGTGACATCAATAAAAGTACCATTATTTTCTTTATTACCCTAATACGCTGTACTGCAAACACATTCAACAGCATAACCATTATCACCATCCGAATCATTTCACCAAATAGAACATGCCTTGATAAACTACTCATCAGCCGGGCCTTACGGATTTCACAGCCCGAATCCACTACGGACAACTTACTGCACTGAAGCTCATCCGTTCCGTCTCCGCAGTCATCGATAAAGTTGCATATGTCCTCTGGGTAGTAGCAGAGTCCGTTGCCACATGCTAATTGGGGCGGCAGGCAGACAGGGGAAGGTGTGGTCAGGTCGTCCCCGCCAGGTAGGTTTTGGATGGGCGAGAGTTCACATATTGGCGACATTGCGAAGTCGTCGAGCGTAAGAGTGCCTCGTACATCCGGATCTGCTACGCCTTCTAGGACCACCTGGTTATTATAGAAAGTAAGACTTTATTGTTGAAAGTTGAATCTTATTTATGGTTCATAAAACAGCATGATTTCTTCTTTAAGTTATGATAACCTAGATGCTTCTGGGTCTGATTCTGCCAATTTTTGAGGCTTGGATATAAATACTATTGGGAATTAGGCGTTCCAACAAGCGAGCAAGAAAAAAGGATGCAGGATGTGTTGTTTACCTAGATCACATACATTGATGCATTATATATTAGTGTCATATGCTTCAGACATAGAAATGCAGAAATAACAGGTTTACCTGAACAGGCTGTGTGGATTATTAGGAACGGTCAGGTATTCGAGATTTTGAAAAGGTACAGGCAATTTGCACCAATATTATACACATACCTCGCAAATATAATGTCTTCTACGTTGTTGTTGATGATTGGCGTATGTTAGGCATCATTCTCTTGAAACACAACCATTCCTCTCAACAATTGACTCATCTCTTTTCCGGGATTATAATTATATATTGCGTGCGCATATTTTTGTGCGCTGTATTTGCTTATGTAAGCCCAGGAGGGGACTTATCTGGATGAGGGTGGGAGTGTTATATCACCTTACCGATATGTAAGCCAATGACTGAATTCTTGTAGTGCTTGGAATTCTTAATAATTTAAGGGTATTTATTTTAAAATATTATTATACCTGTTTTGTATATGAATTGTGAGCCCGCACAGGGACTAATTAAGTAAGGGTGAGGATAACCCTCTCCTCTCCCTCTCTTTTTCTTTTTCACTCTCTCAATATCACAGCTCAATAATGATCTCTTTCAGTCTCTCACTGTCTGTCTGTCTGTCTGTCTCTCTCTCTGTCCATTCCTGCCTCACTTATCCTCATCACTTTTTTTTTCTCTCTAATTCTTCTCCTACACCCTTATAAACGTAAACTCACTTGGAAATCCCCACTATGAGTGCTATCGCCGACCGGAATGGTGAATTTAAGCCAAAGACCTTTTGCTGTATTATTCAATGACGCTATAAGGTGCAAGCCATCGGAATAATAACTCGTACGTCTGTGAACAAAATAGAAATATAAACATAGATTATTTAGTTCAATAAAATATATCTACAATGTTGATAATTGTGTTTGGAGTTGTCAATAACAATTAGTATATACATCTGGAATAGCAAATGCAATCAAAAATTATATTATTTGATACTACACACTCAAGAATTAACACTGGAACACATGACCTTTCTTCATTTGACTTGATTGAGTAAATATCTTTCTTTTATCACTAGGACAGGCATAAACTATTACTTTAAAGAGCAAAGTGCCCCTACCTGTAGACATTGATAACTCCTGGCTTCTCCCCAAGGACTTGATACCAGAATCTGAGGGTGCACTCCTCGACCCCCGCGAGAACCACAGGTGAATGAAGACGACCTACTACCTGGATCTTTGGGTCAATTGGTATATCCAAGACTAGGAAGTGACCTGAGGGAAGCGAGGTTACCGAGTGTGATATGTGGTATATCTGATTGCTACTGTTACCTAAAACTTCCTCAGAGTATGGCTTTTCCCTTCTGGGAATCCACACGAAAAACTGGCCTCTTTAACGCCTATAAATCCTAGAGATAACCCCAAATCTCCAACAAAAGGAATCTAAAAATATCCACAAAGTATATTCACAATCAAGCAAGACGACCCTTAAGTCGTACCGCTCGAGGAGAGGCTCGTGTGGTCGTAGCCGGGCAGCATCTCCAGGGTGTCGGACGACCCCCGCAACAGCACCCAGTCAGCGCTGTCTGTCACCTCCTCCGCCCACGTGCCGCACAAGCCCGCCTCGAAGTCGCAGCGGAACTTGTACGCGGAGCACATCCCGTAGGATTCGTCGGAGGCGTCGAGGCAGTCGTCGGAGAAGTCGCAGATTTTGTCGCGGGATACGCAGGTTCCCGAATCGCAGGTGAACATCCCGTTGGCTTCGCAGGTTGTTCCTGAGGAGTGGAAGGAGAAGAAGGAGGAATAGGAAAGGATGAGAGACGAAGTAATTGAAAGTCGCCAACGCCCGTAATGCAAGGTGTCATGGTACATTTCCTGCCGAAAAGACAGCGCAAGAAATTCAAATAAATATCAACATCTTACCCCCACTACTATGTCGTCTACATATATGTATAAATAAACTACTGAAATCGCGGACATCAATAAATACCATAAATCATAGAGGTATAGAAATAAATGCGGTAAAAGGGGAAAATGTCGCAGACATATGTACTAACCCCTGAAGAGGATTTTAGCTGAGCCGAATCACCATATCATTTATTCACAGCTCAGTGTGACATCCCACTTCCCCCTACGCCATCAATTCTATTTACCAGTGGACGGAGGCATCGGGGGAGCGCAGTCAACGAAGGTGAGGTCGTCGACGGCGAGCTCGGCTTGGTACTCGAGGCCGCGGTTGGCTTGCACGACCACGATCTGCCCCGTCACGTGACCCACGCTCACCAGGGCCTGGACAAAATTTGCGTCTTGGAGGATTAGTTGCACACACACACACACGCACACACACACACACACACATACACACACGCGCACGCACGTACACGCACGCACACACACACACACACACACACACACACACACGAACGCGCAAGCACACGCACGCACGCACGCACGCACGCACGCACGCACATACACAACCACACAACACACACACACAGCTCACAACACACACACAAACGCACACGCACACGCACACGCACACGCACACACACACACACACACACACACACACACACACACAACA